TGCCAGAATTTATCTTAATATTTTGTGTCATTGCATTCTTTTTTTTTTTTTTTTGTCATAAAGTGCTCTGTGGTGCGAGACTGAGTCTGACGCCATACTTGATTCTGGCTTTCACTTGTAAAGTGCCTCTGAATTGTCAAAACACTCTCAAAATTCTTTGAAAAGCGAACACCATCTGAATAATTTTAAGACAGACAAAAGTTTTGGAGGGCGACACGGTGGCTCAGTGGTTAGCACTGTCGCCTCACAGCAAAAAGGTCATTGGTTGGAGTCCCACCTGGGTCAGTTGGTATTTCTGTGATGTTTGTATGTTGAATTATTGTGTATGGATGTTTCCCAGTACTGGGTTGCAGCTGGAAGAGCATCCGATACGTAAAACATATGCCGGATAAGTTGACGGTTCATTCCGCTGTGGTGACCCCTGATTAATAAAATGACTAATAAAAAGTCGAGGAAAATTTTTGGAGGCAGTGTGTACTTGTCATTGACACAACATGAGATTGTATTTATTTTTAAAGTGGAAAAAATTCTGATGAATATTGCAGTGTGCAATGAACTTGACAGCCAACAAACAGAACTGAAAAACAAACAAAATCAGTGAACTCTCCGTTGAACTTGATCTCTTGCTCAGCCCCACTGCCACAGGCGGCCCCATCGGCAGACTCCGTGCAATCTTTCAGACTGCCCGTTCCCTTCAGCAGTGAGGACAGACTGTCCCTTTCTTCCTCTTAGGCTTCTTCACCAATATGCCGCAATAAGGTTCAAAGTTGAAAGAAGGAAGAGGCAGGAGCCGGAAATCAATAAACCTACAGCACAAACATGAATATGTACAGTTGAAGTTAGAATTCCTTTTATTTTATTTTTTTTAAATATTTCCCAAATGATGTTTAACAGAGCAAGGAAATTTTCACAGTATGTCTGATAATATTTTTTTCTTCAGGAGAAAGTCTTATTTGTTTTATTTTGGCTAGAATAAAAGCAGTTTTAAAATTTTTAAAAACCATTTTGAGGTCAAAATTTAAATGATATAAGTAAATGATATGTTTTCGATAGTCTACAAAACAATAACTTGCCTAATTAACCTAACCTGCCTAGTTAACCTAACCTGCCTAGTTAACCTAACTAACCTAGTTAAACCTTTGAATGTCACTTTACAGAAGTGTCTTGAAAAATATATAGTAAAAAATTATTTACTGTCATCACGGCAAAGATAAAACAAATCAGTTATTAAAAAAATAGTTATTAAAATTATGTTTAAAAATGTGTTGAAAGAATCTGCTTTCCTTTAAACAGAAATGGGGGATCAAATCTGCAGAGGAGCTAAAAATAGCTAAAAATTCTGACTTTAACTTAAGGCCTTCAAGCAGGAGGGTCCAGTTATGTTTTTTTTTTTGTACATTATTAGTTGTTAATTCTCAAAAATGTCTATTTGTAAAAATATACAGGGGGGCTAAAAAAATCTGACTTCCATTATGGGTTTTCTCTCATCCTTTGCTGTCATCACTTGCCACAGGCTCTGCCCACTCACTTTTTTTAAATTAATAAACGCACTAACAACTATATTATGTTAAAAACTACAGTATTCTCACAGTA